AAGGTTGCACCAAAAATAAGTGTTTTGAAGGGAACTAAAAAGCGAGGAAGGTTGCACCATTATTAAATATTTTTAAAGCGGCGAAAAGCAGATAAAGTTAGCATCATTAATAAATATTTATTGAAAAAAGAGGATATAATTTAAATCAAATTATAATTAAATTATTTAAATCTATAAAAATTAATAAAACTATTTTTATTTTAGATGTGTTATGTAATATTAATATATATATATATATATATATATATATATTATTTTTTCAGAACACGTATTTGCAGACATTTAAGGTCAAAAGTCAATTATCATACTTTGATTTAAATTCAGACAATCAGTTAGGTTTATCGATTGAAAGATTAATTAGCTAAGCATGTTATTTTATCTGTGCAATTTACATAAATTTCCGGTTCCGAGCATACTCCTGTTCCGAGTTTACTTTTTGAAGAATACAATTTCGTATTATATAAGAAATTTTTGCTACAAATATCTAGTTAGAAGGAGTTTTTGATTTTGAAAAATAATTGGGATTTTTTGTGTATTGCACAAAAAAGTTTTTTTCTTTTTATATGATTTAAAATAATTTTATTCTGTGTACTGGAAACGATTATTAAAATATCAAACTAAAATATTGTTTAAATCCCTCTCTATTTATTAACTAAAATGTATATATCATTAGTAAAACTTTACATTATTAGTGCTCATGTTGTTGTAATTTTGTTGTAATTTTCACGCGTAACTTTATTGTTCTTTTAGAATATTAAATTTATTTTAATATTTAATTTAAATTAGTTAATTTTTTTCTATTTCTAGAAATGCTCTGAATCCAGAATATTTGACAAGAATTTTTACAAAACCTTTGCTAGAACAAATCCATCAGATAAGGGAGTAAGTATTTTCTAATATACTATTCAAATAATTCATATATTCTCCTTATGCATATAAATGCCTGGAAAAGTCACTCTGAAATTATGATTACTTTTTACGGATAAATAGTATTTAGTACGAAATAGCGAAATTCAAAGTATAAGGGAAAAATTTCTAATGTGAGGCTATATTTTTTAAAATTATTATTGGGATATAAAAATATATCTATGTTCATTATTATTATATCTAGTGTACATCTGAACCGGTGAAAATCATTAAAATTAGTCCAAATTCTCAAGCTGCGTACTGCTGTAGCAAAAAGTATAAATGTTAATATGCCTGCAAAATTCAGAAATTGTGTACTAATGGACTATAAATCTAGGTCATATCAAATAATTAAGCTTAGTTATCAGATTCTTAGACCACGGCTATTTTGACAATTTTATGACGTACTCCTATATGACTACTAAAAATAATATACTTCATTAACCAGAACTAAACCAACGAAAGAAGTGTTTCCCTAGACTATACGGACAAAATCCGTATACTCCGACAATATGCATACTAAGCTTCCGAGAATAAGAGTACTAAAACAAGTTGTCATACGAAAGTACTAAATTAAGATCCGCGTAATCAACGGCTGTTCTAGTCAGAAAGGATCGTCTCATTTATGATACCATGGATCATGAAGAAAGAATCACGTGATCATGCTGTGGTCACGTTCATGTGGTCACGTTCTATATGTGATCAAGTTCTCTCAAAAAACCTTCAAGTGTGCGTAAGAATGTTTTTGGTCAAGTTCTTTTTTTTTAACTAAAAATAATAAACTTCATTAATCTGTTCAGACGTGCTGAAACCGTATACTCCGACAATATGCGTGCGAAGTGCGTCTTTGTACTAATACAAGGTGCAATACGAAAGTAATAAATTGCAATTCATGCAATCAAGGGCTCCTGGAGAAAGTATCATCTCATCTATGATATCATGGACCATACAGCAAGAGTTGCATGTTCAAGTATACGTGATCAAATTCCGGAACGAGTCGAAGGATTTAAAAACTCAACAAGTTAATACTAGCTCAACTGGCCGACAAAACTTAACAAGACATCTAATGAATACAAAAAATTATTACTAAAAGTTAGTTAAGTTATGATTTTGTTTCAGTATTCCCCCTTCCAAAAAAGTAGTCATAAGTATTCGCAAGACACAAGCAAAACTTCTTCATTTAATTTTATCTACTTATTATTGAAACTATATATTAAAATATTGTTTGAAATTAATGTCAACATTTAAATATTTATTCATTAAAATCCATCACTGAACCAAATTATTGCTGATATTGTATTTAAACTGCTTATACTTAAAACCATAATATTAGTAATATGACACTGAAGTTTCATGTTTTAAAGAATTTTAAAATCGTAAACAATTTTCTTCCTTTTAAATATGAGAGTATTTAATTTCCTTACATCCAAAACTCTAAGCATAGCAGCTCATAAGCCTCCCTTTTATCCAAATAATCAGTTTCCTACGATCCGTGTCTAAATTAACCTATTTCTAGAGCTGTCGGCATAAGCTGCTTCAAAGTTCCTTAATACCTTAATACTTAGACTTATGTTCGGTCACCTCTAGATGCTGACCGTTTCCTAAGACTTGCGAATTGGGATTAAATGAAACTAACTGCGGCTTTAAGGAATATTATAGAGCCTTAGAATATGATAGATTTCTGTATCAGTATTAAGTATTTTAAATGTTAACTATGTTATGTGTTTTAGAAAACTAAAAGGGAAAAAAATTAAAACTATCGTATAATATTGAAACAACATTGAAATATTTTTTTAATATATCATGTTTAAACCAAGGAGAGCTTGCATGGGAAATGAACTGACAAAATTTAAAGGATTGGAGCCAGTGTATTAATAAACAATACTATTGAAAAGAGTAATAATTTTCAGACAGACAATTTACACATTGAGGGAATTTTCAAGTTAATAACATGTACTAGAGCTCAAAATTATATTGCTTATACATACCCAGGGCATATTAAAATTCCTATTTGACAAATATTTTGTCGTTGAAAATGTAAATACTCAATCAGAAATATAGTAAAATACTGGATAACCGGTATTCATAGTCTTATTTTACTTTATTTTATAACCAGCGTTGTACAGCCAACTGAGTTCTGAGTTTTCAACAATCAATGCTCAACTCCGTAGTTTTAAAATTTTGAAACCAACCCAGAAGACAAAGTAAGGCCTGGATCAAGCATTGGAATAAACTAGCTTGTGCCGATGAAACAAACTAGCCATTTCAATGAAACAAACACGCATTTGTGTTACACGGAGGAGAAACCACTAAAATCTCCTACTATCAGCCCGACGGCTAAAGGGCTCTAACCCTTGATCCACTTACCACTAAAGATATTTCTCGTCAGCACTGTGGTCGGTGCGAGCCGTGAGCAGAATCCGTATCAACTATCGCCACCGCTGAAATTCGAATCTGGGTTCACTTCATTGGAAAGCGAACTCTCTATTTACTGAGCCTCCGTGGCTCAGCCATTAGATATAAACAAAACTCTCCAAAATAACTGATAAGACAAATAAAGGGCACTAAAAAGGGAAAAAATAAGAATTTAGTAAACAAAGATTGCTTGTTTTTTTTATTCCTCTTGCCATGCTTATTTTTATCGAACGAAAGTTTTCCTCAATCGCTGTGAGTAGTAAAATAATTAATGTGGAGGCTTATGGAATCTTTTAAAGATGACATAATGGAGAGCATGCATTTACCGATTAACATACATAATTCTGAGAATAATACTTCATTGACAATAGTAATATTCTGTTTTTACTTTCTATAATACAGGGATGGGCAAACTTTTCTGGTCGAGGACCAAAAATCGAAGAAGAAAAAATTGGTAGGCTAAATAAAAGCATCTAAAATAAAAATAAAAATACTACTTGCAATTTTCAATGCAAATATTGAATGAGATGAATGAAATTGCGGTTTCATTTTTAAAAGTTCCTCATATTAAGGTTCCAAGTGAGATGTACTTATTTTAGGGAACAAGGGTAAATGTTTGTCTGTTATTCTACTTCTGAAATGATTTTTTCTGAGATTCGTAGATGAAAACACTTGTTCACACATAAATAAAAGGAAGGAACGTAGTTTGTCCATCCATGCTATAATACGTCTTTATTAATAATACATAGTCAACAGTAGTATATATTATATAAAAACAGCAACCTCTAAATTGCACTTAAAATAAAAGTTTTGAGGGTGACTAAATAATATTAACATGGTTTTATGGAAATATATCATGAAAATAATCTGGTACTCTTTCCTGATATACGCTCTTCTCGACAGTTTGAAAATGTGGCTTACCATTTATATTGCTCCTTTCACAGCTTGAATCCAAAAAAATAGAAATTAATGTTTTTTTTTCAATCAAATAAAATCACAAATAGCTGTAACGATTTATTAATAAGCAATAATTTTCAACTGTAGAGATATATTTATGAAAACTGATCATGACATTTCAGTAGAAAAAATTATTATTCAAAACTTTTACCAGTACAATTTTCAAGTTAGTTAAAAATGTAAGCTTGAACTAAAATATCACAGGGAACTTTAATTTGCAGTGACACTTCATATAAAATTTCGGTTCATTTGAAGGAAAATTATCTAAGTTAACAATGAGGAATTATTAAAATGGTGCAAAGTAAAACTGCACCAGTAACCCGTTTATTTTTCTTAAAATCTTTTTTTCATGACTCGTAAAAATTTAAAATGCAGAAAGTGGTTGAAACTCCTACGCATGTGCAAATAAAAATAATATTTTTTTTACAGTTTTTAACAAGTCTTACGAATTTTAATAGTTTCTAAAAGTAGTAAAAATCTGCATAAAACAATAGTTATTGCAAAGCACCCTGTATTTTCCCAACTTGTTTTTATTAAAATGTGCTGTCGTTGTCTTATGCCACCTGTCAATAATGAGAAGCCTATTTTAAGGTAGAGAGGTGCGCTTCTTCTTGTTTTCCCGTCTCGCCAACTATCTCTAAAAATTCGACTTCTGCCACACACATACGTTTCAGTCCGTTTTACAGGGAAGACACATTTGCACATCATCCATCCACAGATCTTAATTTTGACCTGAACAGAGCACGATCAATCTTCGATCCTGTACCCTCAGAAGTATTGATTTGTTATTGGAATTTGGACGAATTTGTGATCCCGACAAATTTAGAGGGTAATTGTCACCATTTTGTACACAGGCAGTCTTCGGCCTGCGGAAATCGAACTCACGACATCTTGAACATGGACCATGGAACTCCGTACCAACCAGACTATCCCGGTTATATTAACATTAAAAAAAAACATTGCATTATGACTAATAATTTACGATGTATAAAGCATTAAATTTTGTATAATTTCATTTTAATTATTTTTCCTCTAGGTAGTGCGTTCCATTTTAGCTTTGCTCAAATATTACCGTTGGCGTAAGTTTTCTATATTATCTGAAGAAAACAACCCTTACATGACAGTTGCTCAAAGTCTAGAAAAACAAGTATCTAGTTATCCGAATTTCACCATCAATCACAAAGGCATCAAATACATCCCTAATCTTCATGTATGCTGTGAAGACAAAAAACCTTGCTGTACAGATAATTTTTCCAAGGTCGTGGAAGAAACCTATAAGACAACAAGAGGTAAACAAAAGAAGGAAATTTCTATATTAAAGGGACTTCATGCCTGAACATATCTGAAATAATTTTATGTTTATGATTTTTTGATTTATGATTTTTATGGTTTAGGGGAGAGTCGGGTACCCCCGCCCACTGTCAATTTCATATGTATAGAATATTTTTTCAAGTCAATGGGCCATTGGACATTAATTATTATATTAAAAAAGATTATTTTCAGAGTGTCAAGTATTTATGCAGCTGTTAACAAGGTAAACAATAGTTTTGAAAATATGTTGAATACAGTAGTCATGAAATTAAGAAAAATTGGTTGAATGTTTCGATTAAACTTCATTTTAAAACTAAAAAAATAATTTTTTCTATACCTACAGCATTAAAGTATGTAGTCTTAAGTTTAATTTGCGCAAAGAAAGAAGTCTATATGTGAAAAATTGTTCGAGAAATTACAAATTTACAAAGAAATTGGATTTCGTGTAGCCCCGCTCACATGAATGTCGGGTATCAACGACCAATTTTATTTCGTCGATAAATGTACGGTTGCAAATTTTTATTGTTTTATTAATTTTATTTTATTGTATTAATTTATTGTATTAATTTTATTGTTTCAAATTTGAATGTTATATGCATTTTTAACAACAAATATTGTTGTTATTAAATAATAAAATTCACTAAAATTATATAAATATGTAATAAATAAGATAATTTCGTGATAAAAATTATAAAATAGGTTTACCTATTATCAATACATTGGTAATTTTCATTCACACCTGAAAAAACAGTCAAAAAACGTAATTTTTGTAACTGGGCGGGGTTACCCGACACATTTTGAAAAGAGCTGAAAAACATGTTTTTTTAAATTTCTATTTTTTTAAGTTAAACTACTCTTTTTTTGGTTTATTCTTTTTGCATTATTTAATTAGATGATAAAACAATAAAAACATACAAAAATATTGATTATTACTCAATATTATACATAAATATAAGCAATACTCTTTAAGTGAGCGGGGCTACCCGACGCTCCTCTATATAAAATAATTTTATATTTATGATCTAATAATTATGAACCATTTTAGAAATTTATTTGCTATGTATCTAAAGTTTAACTTAAACTTAATTGAGTCTTTCACATTTTATAGCTTTATTGAGAGCTCATAATGAAATTTTAAAGCATGCAAAGTATTTATAAATCATAATTTAAGCAATTTTTTCATTGAAGAGAACCTACATTTTTTTTCAGTTTGATAAGGAGTGATAAGGAAATTTTACAGAATAAAATAACACATATAAGTCATAATTTAAACACTTTCCTTATTGAAGGTGAATGTACAAAACTCTGTTATCTTGTGTACCAAAAATTACAGACAATTTAAAAAATTATTATAAAAAGGATGGAAACGTGTGGTTTGCTATGTTTTGCTTCGAAAACGAAAAATGTTTCTCGTCAAATTTTAAAACCAATATTATCAATTCGTTAAGAGATGGCGTTGTCTTTTAAAAACATCTTTGAATTTCAAACTAATCATCAATTGCAGAAAAATTTGGCGTAATTTGGAGAAAAATTAAATCGAGGCATGCACGAATATTTCAGTTGACAGGGTGCTACATGCAGTGGAAAGCGTAGTTTTTTTCAGTCATTGATGCTATCTCTTGACGAAATTTGCAACAAAATTTGAAACTTGGCAAAAATTCATGCCCTTTCTCCTAAACTCAGCAAACCACTCGTTTCCATTTCTTACTGTTTTTTTTAACTGATTTTTTTTATCCTCAATCGAACAATTGGTGTTAAAAAGTATCTAAAAATAATTTATTTTTCCTTAAAAAAAAGTATTTTATTATTTAAGTAAATATGGATTTGTTTATATTTTAAAATTTAATATTTAAGGAAATATGATACATACTCAACTAGGCAATCTATAGGGTACTTAGGGGAATTTGACGTTTAATTAAACGTTTCGTTCAATGTTTTGTCTACGTTAAGCACTGAAAACAAAACGTTATTGTCTAAGATATATTTACTGGAATTTATACATTCAATAACAAAAAATTCTTTTTGTTGCAGTTTATGTATTTTTTGGAAGATTAACGTACCTCATAGAACTGCTGACAAAATTACAAATGAAATTGCTTGATATTAAAGATTATGTGATTGTATATATTCATCTAGAACAATATTCTGTCGCTGAATCGTATCAGTACTTTTGGCGTAAGTAAGGTTAATGTCAATACTTCTTCTGTCAAATAATTTATTTTCAATTTTATGAGTGTCAAAATATTATTCAACTAAACATTTTTCACTGGCATTAATTTCACAAGAATTTTGGAAAAGGAAATGTATCATCTTCTACAACTGCAAAATAATATTCATAAAGTATATTTAATACATTTTCCTGCAAGATGTTGTTGTTACTTATGCCACTTGCCATTATCAGCAAGCCTGCTTGAAGATCAAGCGAGTTTTTAAGGTAGAGGGTGCGTTTCTTGCTTTTCAAAGGCGCAATCAATGACCAAAATTACGTCCTCATTCTTAAAAGTACGTCACAGCCACTTTTGCAAGAACACATTCACATATAATTTGTCATTCCGTAAATCGTAATTTTGGCCTGAACCAGAGCATGATCGATCTGCGACCCAGTGCACCCAGAGGTATTAATTTGTTCTGAAAACTTAAAGGACTTTGTGACTCGGACAGGTATAATGTGCACCATTTACCATGCTGTACACAGGGAGTCATTAGCCAGTGAGAATCAAAACCCATGATTTCTTGGATATGTACGTAAAGCTCTACCAACCAGACTCAATAAATGATTTCAATTAGCAAAATAGAGATTTATATCAATTAGTTTGCTAGCAGAGATTATTATTTAGATTAGCAAAACAGAGATTCAAATTAAGCGAAAAATTTAAAATTACGTTTTGTAAATCCGTTGATTGCCGAGGAAAATTTTCAGATTCATCCCCCTCTCCTCATTGCCACCGGTTTAAAAGGCTCTATTATTAATTGCACCTAGTCCTACTCATAGTAAATTATATAACAGTTTTTAAGAGAGAATTTAAAGTTTGAGGAGCCTTAGATCTGTATTTAATCTCTTACAACCGAACTAATCTCCAAAATAATCACATAGGCGAGTTCAGTTTTGGTGTGTATTAAAGAAGAGGCACGCTTTTCCATCGAAGAACTGTTTACTTTTTTTTAGTAAAAAAGTTTACAAGAATTAAAATGTTGCAGTATAATTATAAATAAAAATGTTGTAGAGAATAGAATGTAGAAAAATAATGACGTATTCCGAAGTTTTTAACCCAGAAGACGAAGGAAAATAGTCATCTATTTCACTCTCAAACATAATAGTACAAAGAATAAAAACTTTTATTACACACGGAGACAAAAACGAAAGAGAACGCAAAGTAAAAAAACGTGTACTACGGAAGAAAAAAAAAGAAACATAAGCAATAATTGGATATCTGTGATTTACTTACCAGAAACTTCCCTTAATTGCCCCGCCCTTTGTTATCTGAAATTCTTTGAAAACACACCCAAGGTCATTTTATTGCACTCCAAAGCTGTGGGAGTAGTTTAACTGATGGCAGCGCGTGACGAGTGCATTGCGCAATCACTGTTCCGGAAAGGCGTACGTATACGTCAGGGCAGTTGACGCGCCGGCTTAGCGAAACGCATATATACGCCCGTTGTAGACAAGAGGTATCGACGATGTTTGAAACAACTTGATGGCGGAACATGATGGGTAAACACATGATGGCGAAAGTTCTATCGTCCATCATCGTATGTTTGACATCAGTCGAAATAAAATTTCAGAAGATAGATAATATTCTTTACGCTATACAAAGCGAAATATTGCTAGCATATAATGCTAGCTAACTGTAAAGTAATTGTTTTCACTATGTATATGCACTACCGCAATTAGTCTGTTTTCGTATTTTCCACTTCTTTCCACATATTCGAGTCCTTCGAAACACATACACATACACAAGTCCTTCGAAAAAAACATTTAAAAATGCAACTGCTTTCAAAGGAAATAAATAAAAATAAAAAAATTTTGTGAACACGGGAAAAGTATCTGCTTCAAAAGCTGAATTTTAATTTACTAGTTAAATTTTACTAAGCAGACAAACAATTAGTAAAATTTAAGTAATTTATTAAATTTGCTCATTTTAATTGATGGTTCTCTCCATTTAGTTTTCCGTAGGTTTCAAACTTTGAAGTCTTGTGTATTCAAAATAAAAGTAACAGAAGCTTAAACACAAATTATAATGACGTTGATAATCACCTTAAACTATGAAGTGGAATATAAAGAACTTTATGCTCTTATTCGAAATTTTATTATATTTCTTAAATAGATTTTCATGAGTTTTATTTTTTTCTAAACAAATATGTTTATTTTTTAATGTTTAGGTCTCCAAAGAGTTTTTAATATATGCATGTTTTTTTTTTCGATTTTAGGGGTTGACATGAGGCCTTATTTAAAAGAAATGGCTATGAAAGCTGCAAAATCTCTTTTAGTCATTGTACCTAGTCCTCCTCATGATAAAGGATATCATGATTTTGAAGAGAAAGTTAGGAATTATAATTTTGAAGAGCCTTTTAAGTTTCCAAACAATCTCCCATATCCAAAAGTGAGTAGAATGGTTCAAGTTTAAAAGTTCAAAACCAATTTTAAGGGGTTGACATGAAGCTCTTTTTAAAAGAAATGACTACAAAAGCAAAGAAGAAATATATTAATTAGTAACTTAGTTATATTAATTAGTAATTAACCTAGTCTAATTCCTAATAAATGATATCACGATTTTAAAGAGAAAAATATGACACATACTAGTTCGTAAGAGGCTTCGTTTGTTCTCAAACAATCTCTCCTATTCAAAATCTAGTAGAGTGGGTTATATTTATATCTTCAAAGACATTTGGATTTATATTTGTAAAGTAAACAGTTTTTTTTCCCTGGAATCTGCAAAACAGAAATTAAAAAACTCCTCGAAAGGAAGTTTTGCTTGAGAAATGGAGAACCCTTTCTAAGGAACATATAATTTCTGTATACTTTCTTTCTGTAACTACTTTCTCCGAGGAGAAAACAGCATTTAAATAAATATAACTATATACATTAATGTCTGCATTAGCACAATCACACTAAGCATAATATAATTATTTATATGCTAATAATCATGGTGGTAAATATTATCATGTTTTATTAAATTTTATTGTGAAAAGGAATGTTAAAAATTTTCAAATAGTTCATTCAGGAGATGCACGTCCTCCCAACATAATTTTTTTTTTAAAAAAGAAAAGATGCGATGAAAGCTTAAAAAGCTCTATTATTAATTGTACCTGATCCTACTCATAGGAGATTATGTAATAATTTTTGACAGAGAATTTTAAGTTTGAGGAGCCTTATATCTCTATTTAATCTCTTATAACCAAACTAATAAAAACATTTACAGGTTCAATGAAATTTTTCAAACATTAACATGAGGCCTTATTTTTTAAAAAAAAATTCCTTAAAGACTAANCCTATTCAAAATCTAGTAGAGTGGGTTATAATTATATCTTCAAAGACATTTGCAATTATATTTGTAAAGTAAACAATTTTTTTTCCTGAACTCGGCAAAATAGAAATTAAAAAACTCCTCGAAGGGAAGTTTTGCTTGAGAAATGGAGAACCTTTGGAACTAACGATTTGTGCCCAATATTTTTCTAAGGAACATATAATTTCTGTATGTAACTACTATCTCCGAGGAGAAAACAACATTTAAATAAGTATTACTATATACATTAATATCTACATTATCCCAATCACATTAAGCATTATATAATTATTTATATGCTAATTATCATGGAGGTAAATATTATCATGTTTTATTAAATTTTATTGTAAAAAAGAATTTTAAAAATCTTAAAATAGTTAAGCATTGTCTAAAACCGAAAAGTTCTATATTTTCAATGAAAAGTATAACATTTTTAGCAGCGTATTGAGGAATTTCATTCCATAATCCCCACGCGTCTTAACGTTCATCCAGGAGATGCACGTCCTCCTAACATGATTTATTTTTTTTAAAAAAAAAGATGCGATGAAAGCTTAAAAAGCTCTATTAATTATTGTACCTGATCCTACTCATAGGAGATTATGTAATAATTTTTGACAGAGAATTTTAAGTTTGAGGAGCCTTATATCTCTATTTAATCTCTTATAACCAAACTAATAAGAACATTTACAGGTTCAATGAAATTTTTCAAACATTAACACTAGGCCTTATTTTTAAAAAAAAAAATTCCTTAAAGACTAAGAAATCTCGATTATCTATTACCTCTAAAATCTCTATTATACTAGTTACAATGAATAAAAATTCTCCATTATTCATTGTAACTAGTCCTACTCATGGTAAATGACATCATAATTTCAAAGAGTGAACCTGAAATTTTAAATTTGAGACGCCCTCCTTTGTCCTCAACTAATCACTTATCTCCAAAAGTTAGTAAAATAGGTTACATTTACAGGTTAAATGTCATTTTTTAAGGATTAACATGATGCCTTTTTTTAAAAAACGAAATTAGCTTTAAAAGCTTAAAAAGTTCTATAACTCATAGTAACTCGTCCTACTCATAGTAAATGGTGTCTTAAATTTAAAAATAATGTTAACAATTATATTTTTATATCCAAATATAAATAGAATAGGTCGCCTATAAAGTATATAGTCCCATTAGTTTGATCTACTCAATTAATTTTACTCTTTGCGTACTTTGTCATATCTCGGTAACATTTAAAGTGTATTGAAACATTTTTGCACACAATTATAGAATTGGTTTTTTTGAAGATAAAACCATGAAAAAAATAACTTTTAGTAAATATTTATCATTTTATATTATTTTATTTCAGATTAGTCGAAAAAATGTTGAATTGTAAGGTATACAATTTTTTATATCATTTTAAAAAATATAATTTTACATGGTAAAAAGCGGAGGTGGTTGAATAGTTCCTAAGAAATGAAATTTTTAAAATACGACTTTTTTAAAATTATTTCTCGCGAGCAACTCAATAAATTTCGCTGAAATTTTATATTTCCGGATAGAAAATTATGTTAATCAAAATTATGCAAAAAATTGTATACCTTACAATTCATCATTTATTCGACTAATAATAAATAAAAAATTACTATTTAATTATTTTTTGCATGGATAAACGAATCTTTGGATAAACGAATTTTACAAATGTTTGCAAAAAATATTCAATTCACTTAAAAAGTTCTCGAGATATGGTGAAATAAGCAGAAAATAAAATCTAAACAAGGGTGTTCGAATTTTGGAAAGCACTCTTGACCAAACTATAGGGTCCATATTTCCCAGATTATGGCTGCCTCCTATACTTTTTGATTCAGAATTCCGAATCCATGTAAAAAAAAAAGGTATGTTTATTCAGAGAAAGTACGTTTCTCTGTCTGATTTCGTAACTTGGAATATCACTTACACTAATTAATAAGCACGTTTGAAGTTACCCCTTTGAAATATTCAGATTGAGTACTAGTACTCAAAGTCCAAACATTAGATTAAAAGTTATTCAGGGTAATCCAGGGCTCGAAAAACCACCCGTCCGCCAGTTCTCGGCCGTCAAAAATTCCTTGCGGACAACAAATTTCTCGAATCCGACGTCCGCGCGGACGGCCATTTTCCCGTTAATATTCGTGATACATTTTCAATTTTTGTTATCTTACAAGAGTCTAGCGCCTCACTTCTAAAATGACCCTCTAATCTAGAAATACAGCAACATACTGCGCTCTTTGGAATTGATGTTTTCTCTGTCTTGGAGTACTGCAGTGATTGAAAGAGGCTTTTCAGCAATGAGCTTACAAAAAAACACATTACGTACTGGTCTTAAACAAGAAGCGTTAAACGCAATTATGAACATCCACCTAAATGGAAAACCCCTTTCATATTTCTGTGCAGAAACCTCTGTAAATCATTGACTTGATTGTGGAACTGTCTAACGTCATATATGTTTCATTTAAAAAACGAAGTACCCTCGGATAAATTGACATTCCAGATAACTTGACCTTCGTCATTTAAATTATTTCATAAAAGAAATTAATTATTTCATAAAAGAAATTAATCATTTCATAGAAGAAATACTAGGTTTTACTATTAGTAACCTAGTATTTGTAATCCTAGTAACTACTAATTCATTGTGCAATCTATATAAATGTTTGTAATAAATAAGAGAAAATTATATTTTTATTTATTTAGAATCTACGGGTTAGTTTCAAAGGAGGACGGGTACATTGTTGGACAAGCCGTCCTCGGGGACGGGTAAAATTTCTGACTTTCTTCGAGCCCTGGGGTAATACGCTTTTTTAATTTTGAGCCATGCACGTAATTTTGTTATGTGAAATAATTTTGAAGGGAAAGTTATAAATTGTAATTTTGAAGGGCGCGTGTGTCTTTTAAGTTGTTTTCAAACAATCTCCCACATTCGAAAGTAAGTAAATGGGTCACGTTTACAAGTTCAATGCCATTCTTTTATTTACCATTCGTAAACAAGATAAGTTTGACAGTTACATTTTAAACTGTCAGGTTTCAGTCTTACAATACCTTGATTCGCTTTGGCATCAAAATGCTTCCGCATTCATCCTTGCAAGAATTCTGATAAGAACAGTTTTTTTTCCTAAGTATAATTGAGTTTTTGCATAATTGCTTTAAGTGCTAACTGTTGTACAAATGCAATTATTTTTCAAATCTGCGTACTACTTTTATCTGAGCTAGCAGGGTGTACATAGAAAGAAGCTTCAAAAGTAATTATAAATCAATATCTGTTTATCTTTTTTATAATGTGTCTTATCTATATTTAATGAGCAACAAAAGGCTTATATTATTCAAAAGAAAACACTATTCATTAATGCTAATAATATTAAATAGTTATATATTTATACGATATCAAGTTGTCATTTATTTGTGCTTTCGAATAAAAAGTTCGTTAACGAAATGATACGATCTAAATGAAAATCGTATTTTTCTATAAGAAGCAACAATATGTTTATAAGATGAAATTTTTTTTCATTAAAATGAGACTTTTGAAGAAACAATTCGTTTATAAAATGGCAAGGAATTGTGATGATTACTGGGAAACAACATAAAAGGTAATACTTATTATATAATAATACTATTATGCGTAATAATACTATTACTATCTGTTTATATTTCCTATGTAGTGAGGAAATAATAGTATCCTTATTTAAATGCTAGTACATTTCTAAAAAAAAAAATTCGATTATATTTGTTTTAAATGCCTTTTAAACAAAAGGTATTAATCTCATCATCATCATCAAATTGCGCTAAAAAAACTTTAAAACAAACAGATGATCTATAAATAGTAAGGTTAGTTGTTAACCATGTGTCAAGAAATTGTGGTCGAGAATATTATTATAACGAAGAATTTCAAAATTAGTATCAAGGTAATCGCTTGACCATGATATAAGAAATCGAATGTTAATATCATTACCTTATCACCATATCATAATCGTAGAATAATGCCATTAGTTGTTACAACATTATTACATTTTATGTAAATCCACATACTTATTTAAAAATTTCCCTTTTTATGCAGTGCGTAATAAAACTAGTGGTCACAACTTTAGCAGGTGATTTTGCAAAATAAGCAAATTTCACCACACAGTAAGGGAGTCGGACAGCAAAGGGTATTGATGGCGCATGAGAATGTTCTCTCTTTGGAGTTACATATCTCAAAGATAACGCATTCTCCACACTGTCGAAAATTCTTGATCAAATAACGGTAAAATTTTTCTGAGTAAAAAATCTGATATAACTACAGTAATAATTACAGGAAAATTCCCTGAAGAATTACTGTAATTTATTACTGTAAAAATTACGTCATACAATTTTAAGGTAGTCATGAATTTTAGGGTAAAATGATTTTTGTGGATGATACACCCAGGATGCCAGTACTTTTTACTGTGAAAAAGAAGATAATTCATAATATATACAGTCGAACTCGCTTATAACGAGCTCGGATTTAACGAGAACTCGGATTTACCGAGGGAAACTAAAATATTTGGTTGGATCAATGTTAAGTCTATGGAACAGAAGTCGCTTTTAACGAGCAATACCCGGTTTTAGCGAGCAATATTTTTCCGTCTTGTAATCTTTTTTCTCATCTTTCTAGTCTTTCTGTCTTATCTTTTTTTCAAAATGATAAGAAATGTGCGCGAAATAAAAAAAACCGNTATATATATATATTTAAAAAAGAGTTAATTAAGAGTTTAGTATTTTCTTCTCTTCAATTTGGGAGAATATCATATTCAAAAATCACGAGAAAGAAGACTTTTTTTTTTTAAGGAATATAAAATTTAAAGTATATAAATTTTTCAAAAACATCGATTAAAGTTTTGTTGAAAATAATTTAAATTAGGGTATCTGAAACTAGGGTATGTGACGCATACCCTCCAACTGCTACGGAATTTCCGTAGTTTCAGAAATCTTCTTTTCAGACGGTAGCAAAATTAATGTCTTAATATTTAAAAAAAAAATTAATTTTAGCGTAACTTTTTCACTATTACTTATAAAAGTGCAGGCCATATGGCTAGATTCTTAAGTTCTGATAAAAGTTTTATGAGAGATCCATTTGCTTTAAAAATTTCTACTTTGGTTCGCTACCACTAGAAAGAATTATTTTTAAAATCCTCATAAGTTGGAGGGTATGGTGACGTAGGAGTTAATATAAATTTGAGTATAAATAATACAAGAAATGATTCTGTAAAAAAATATACAAAATTAAATGTCAAATTTCGATAATTAAGTTTTTTTCCCGTTCGGTACGAAGACCTTTTTCAAGGTCTTCAATCCTATACGTCGAATAATAGCTTTAAATATTTTTTATTAACCCATATATCTTAATAACAAACACAGCTAAATCATTCAAATAATTTTAACTTATTTTCTTGTAATAGGACTCTATTGCAAAAAAATTACTCTATTTTGAATATGAATTTTTATAATATGAATATGAATTTCCATAAGTAAATATGAATTTTCGAAATATCAATTTCCATAAGTAAATTATAATTCAATTTTAATAATATTTCAGCATATCACTGAATTTGCTGCTTATTTGTACGATTCTGTCATTCTTTATGCTGAAGCTCTAGCTAAAACTCTCGAAGAAAAAGAAGATCCAAGAAACGGAACATTCATAATACAGAAGATTATAGAAAAGGAGGTTTATCGGAGTAAGTTATTTACTTAGTTATTCAACGAAATTTCTTATACTATTTGCAGACCCATCATTCGTTATATAATGAGATACCTGCAAGTGACATAGTGTGGATATCTTGATCCTGATTGGCTGTTGAAACTTGGCGTTTATCTACGTCCCCGTCAAGTATCAAGTGATACATTCTATATACTGTTTACCAACCCGTTTTACCAGCCTCACGTGCAATGGTAGTCTGGTTCACATTAGTTCAGAATGCACATTACATTGGTTACTTGAATATTAACAATAGAAAAAATAATTTTGAGTTCTGTTTAGCATTTAGTTATTTTCAGATTTCTTGGTAAGCGTTTACAGCTTTACATTGCTGACAGATCTTTAGCTACTGTAGTTGCTCTTTTTTTTTACTTAAAAGAGAACTGTATATAGCAAAATTGATTTTTACTGCTACGTCGTGCGCATAAAATCTAAAACGAAACTGTTAAAAAAATTACACTACACTAAACATTTAGTTCAAAAGACCATAGTCAAATTTACAAACACCAAAATTACTTTATGTTTAGTTGGCAACACTAGCGACATTTACAAATACAAAAATTACACTTAACATTTATTTGGAAACACTATAATCCCATTTACAAACATGAAAATTATACTTAAGAGTTAGTTGACAGCACTAATCACGGTTACACAAATCAAAATTACACTGAAGATTTAGTTGAAAACACTATAACATTCATAAAACATCAAAATTACACTTAACACCTAGATTAGAATCAAAACTTTGTTAAGAACAAATCAATAGTCACATTTTTATACACCAAAATTGCACTTGACATTTAATTTACAATACTAGTCACACTTACAAGCAAACAAAATTACAAAACTCCTGTTTAAGTCCTGTTGATAACACCATAAGCACATTTAAAAACATCGAGATTGCTCTTAACATTCAGATGACGAAACTACCAACTTTCACAAATGCGCATAAGCAATTATTATACTTCACTGATTGAGATTTTTATATAGACTACAAAGACTAATATTGAGATTGTGATTCATAGACATAAGTAAACATCAAACGCTATTTAGTGGGCGTCCCTTCTATGAGGCACAGTTTTGTTTCACTCGCAGAAATCCCATACAAAACGTTGCTCTATAAGTCTCTATTTCATTTTCATTGAAGGCATCAACATCAGCTTATAATGTAAGCTGCTTACGAGAGATAAATCAAGCTAATTTACTGAATAGCTAAATAAGTCATTTCCATTGAATGAAATCTCAAATAGGGTAAATTAATGCATTTGGGCGTGGTATCGAATTTGCCACAAGCTATGTCCAGTAGAGGTGAAGGCATATCCAAAAGCAACACCTTTGGAAATATAGATCAACACCTAATGATTACAAGTATATATATCCTGCGTGTTGTGATAGGTGTATACATTAACATCAAACTCAAGAACCGATGATAGCGCTGCTGAGATAGCATAGTGGGACGTGTGTTTGGTGGATCCTAAGATAGATGCGCTTATCTACCACAAAAAAAAATTCGAGGTTAGTGACTGATATCAGATTTATATTAGTTTATATATTTAAATAGATTCTTGTCACATTCCCCTATTTAAGTTCTAGAAAATGTAAACATTCATAATTATCTCCAGAACTTAGATCCAATTTCGCGAAAAATTACCGTTCACCTTGTGTTACTGTTCTCCTTGTGTGCGTACTTCACATGTGAAGTAGATCGTTAAATAAGATTATATGTATATATAATATTGTAAAATAGTAATTCGGGGCTAGGTATTAAGTAGTAGTATTTCAGGCTTTTAAGACAGTTATCTTAAATGATGTCCTTAAAACTTGCAATATTTGTTTCAAAGAAAATTGTATTGATGAATTTATGCAATGAGTTCCGGCGATCTTATTGATGGATTTATGAAACAAGTTCAGGGAAAAATTCAATGATGAAGTTGTGAAATTAGTCAGTGATCAATTTATGAAATCATTGCATTGAGGATCCTGGTGATTAAGATTTTTCTGTTTCAGGAGGGTTGCATTGTTTACGAAATCCCTTCAGAGGATTTCATCATATTTGTTCAATTTTTAAGTGATGCAAAATGAGAGATGTTTCGTAACAATTTCAATTTAATCCAAAGCGGATTATTCATTAACCAAATGTATTTCAGGAACCGAACTAAAGAGGAATAAGTTAAAATTTTGAATATTGATTATTGAAAATATATTTTAATAAAAAAGGCAAAATGCTTTTAATAAAGTTTTAAATTTATAAGCTAAATACCTCAAAAATTATTCTTTCTGATAATACTAAATAGCTGATAGTAGTAAATTTCTGATTATTATTGTTGTTGTTGTTGTTGTTATTGATAATTTGCGTCGCCCTTAAGCTGCACAATGGGCTATTGGCGACGGTCTGGGAAACATCCCGGAGGATGATCCGAAGACATGCCATCACAATTTTGATCCTCTGCGGAGGGGATGGCAACCCCGCTTCGGCAGCCTGACGACCTGCGCGCGAAGTCGAGTCTATTAGTCTATTATTATTACTTTTATCGAACCCTCGGTCCCTGCGCAGACTGATCCAAGTGGTCACCCACCCTCGCACTGACCGTAGCCAGTGATGCTTGACTTCGGTGATCTGCTGGGAACCGTGTCTTAACGATCAGTCCACTGCGGGACTCTGATTATCGAAAATACATAATAATACTAAATTCCCGATAGTACCAAATACCTTTTAATACCTAAATTCTAATAATACTTAATACCTGATAAAATTAAGTTTCTGATATTACTAAATACCTGATCTAAATAACTTATAATAGTAATAATAATAGACATTATAATAGTAATAATAATAGCATAAAAGTAATAATAATAGACTTATAATAGTAATAATAATAGCATAATAACTAAATAATAATAATCTAAATCTTGCTATATATAAAATTCTAATGATGGTGTCGCAGTTTTCCATTGTTGTCGGTGCATTTTTATTGGCCAGAAAATCACGTGGTGTGATCCAGTTTTTCCTCATTCGTCTCCTTATTGTTTTGGTTGTAGTCAGCATAAAATTAATAAAAGTCATGCTTTTCTTTAAATATTTTTGAATCCCTAACTTAAAGTTATTTTCCTGTACTGCTATTATTACGCTTTTAATTCAAGAGTTTAAAACTAAGAGAATTGCTGTTTTCTTATTAGTATTATAATGTAAATCTGCCTTACATTTTAAGATAAAGTTATTTAGAAAGGTGGTCTAACAATTATTATTTTTGAGCAAATAACATTAATATACTGTTATAAATTACAGTTAAAGAGATCTGTTAAATGATTTAGAACTTAACGATCAGCTACATGCACAATGAGATGCAGGCAACAACAAAAAAGTTGTTAATCTATCCTTCCGTTTGGTAAGCGAAAATATTAAATTAAGTATGTGAACTCATCAAATTTGTTTCAACAATATAACGTTATAACAATATAAA